CTCGTCTGCTTTACTCTAGCTCTGTATCGAAACGTCACAATGAACTATCTTATTCTCACTCTGGTCTGCGAGGTATGTTTTCCTTTCGGGCCTTTATGCAAACTCAATGCAGATGTTGTTCCATAATGCTATCAATGAAATCCACTTTTCATACAGCTGCATTCAATATTTCTTCATGTGAGGATAGTGCGGCAGATGGCTGGAGTTCGCGATGCCATGAGCACTATTGTGAGGATGGAATGGGTTCTTAATTGGCTTACTTTCATTTTTGCAAGATCCTTGTCTCACATACTCATCACCATCAAGCTGATCGCTGACGCTTCCAGGTTTGAAAAGGGCGTGGTGTTGCCACTTGCTCTATTTAGGATGGCTGGAATGAATTTAATCAATGCTGGTCTTGGCATTGATCTGTTCAATGCCTTCACAAGAGAGAGAACTCCCCAGAAAAGCAGCCATCATCAGGGTGAATGACTGGCAGAAAGGAGGGTAAAGGGAATGCTTATGCTGTGCTTTGTTCTCCTTGAGATTTCTTCAATTTGTTAGATAGATCTGTTTAAATTTGTTTGACCTGGCATGGATCTTTCTGCATTGAATTGCTGTTAGCTCACTGTAATAATACCTACTTCAGAAATATTGTAAATCCCCTGTACGTGCTAATGTGATTTGTTTCGAACAAGCTGTCGAACAACATGGTTATGTTAGTTATTGTATGTTTCTGTGTTTTAATTAGTTATTTTTGAAAAAAAGTTAAATTTTTTATTTATTTTAATATATTATTATCAAAAATAATTCTGACGATACTATTTCTTAGTACAATGAATGACTGGAGAATGACGGGACACGTGTGATCATTTCTACTATGTGTTCTCAAGTAGTCCTCCTTCTGAAACTTTCCGATTTTAATTGCCACCGCATAAGTGATCCACAATTTTGTGGACTGGGTTTTCGGCAATGCCACCTGTAGGCTGTAGCATGTTTTCGGCAACTCGCCAGTTGTTAAGATGTCTATGGGCATCTGAAAACGAAAGGTCCTACCGGGAGTCGAACCCAGGTCGCTCGATTCAAAGTCCAGAATGCTAACCACTACACCATAGAACCTTGCGGTTCGCGAGTGCAAATATCTTACATTATTTACTTTTTTATCAGGAGGATGCCTTATCTACAGAATCAGAAAACCGATCCTGAGGGTCCAGCCAATGGTTCGTCCTTGTGGGTCCTTTTAAGTGGGAATTGGAATTCAACTTCATAGCTCCATTTAAGGGTTTCTACGGTAATATCATGTTGCTTTTATGCTTGATTCCATCGGATGATTTTTTGAGATGTTTAATTGATGTTATAAAATGTTAATTTGGCTTAAAATGATTGGAATGTACGAAGATCAAAGTGACGGGGGTTTTTCGGAACAGGTTGAAATTTTTTTTAAGGATTTGGAATTTTAAAAGAATAGTAAATTAGATTATGTTATCTTTATCGACCAGTTGATTGGTTGATTTAATAGTTTTGATTGATTGTTAACTTAATTTTATTAGTTTTAATTTATTTGGGTAATGTTTGGGATTGATAGATTCTATTTTAGTTTTATAATTATATTTTAATTTTTGAGTTGTAATTTTTTATGATTATTTCAAATTATTTTTGAATATTTTTTTATTTTAAGTTTTGCTGAGGTTTGGCTTGATAATTCTAGCAATTTTTAAATTTTATTTGGCATTTAATTCACCTATATTTTTTATGACTACTTCAAATTATTTTTAAATATTTTATTTATTTATTTTAAATTCTATTTGTCACGACCCGAATCCCAGATCCATGACCGGCATATAGGCAAGGTTCCCCTCCAAGGTTCCATACCTATGCGAACCCAAACTTACACACAAGTTTATTCTAACTCAATTAGAGTTCAACGCTACATTAATAACAAAATCAACTTCATAATATAATTAAATTGTCTTAATACAAGAGTTAATATAATTTCATAGTTTTGGGACACTAATTAGACATAAAAAAAAATAGAGATTGGAGATAAGATTTTTATGAGAGACTTAAATGTCTTAGATATGGTTGATTTTGATGTAATTTTGGGAATGGATTGGTTGGCAAAGCATAGGGCTTCAGTAAATTATTGGGATAAGAAAATACTATTTGATCTAGATAAAGAAGTTGGGTTGGTATCTCAAGGAGATAAGATTGGGTCTCCATCAATTATGTTGTCGGCTATCTCGAGGAAAATGGCCCGAAAAGGGGTATAGTGTTACCTAGCATATATAGTGGAGTAGAGATAAAAGTTCCTTAGTTAGACCAAATCCCTATAGTTAGGGAGTTTATCAATTTCTTTCCCGATGACTTACCTGGATTGCCTCTATATAAGGCAGGGTCAGAAATGAGGTTGAGTAGGGTAAGACTGCAGGTTTTGTGATAGGTGATGATGATGTACTGAGCTATAGAGATAGGCTTTATGTACCTGATGTAGATGATCCGAGGAGAGAATTGATGGTAGAAGCACATTAGACAGTTTACACAATGCATTCAGGTTCCACCAAAATGTATAAAGACCTTAAGGTATGTTATTGGTGGAATAAGATTAAGGCTGATGTAGCAGACTTTGTTTTTAGGTGTTTAACTTGTCAGAGGGTAAAGGGTGAACACTAGAAACCTCTTGGATTGTTGCAACCATTGTTGATTCCAGAATGGAAGTGGGAAAGGATCACAATGGACTTTGTGACAGGATTGCCTAGGAGTCAGGAGGGTTATGATTCGATATGGGTGATTGTTGATAGGTTGACAAAATCAGCCCATTTTTTACCAGTTAAGATTACTTATGGATATGTAAAGTTGGCGGAAATGTTTATTAGTGAGATTGTACGGTTGCATGGAGTGCTAATCTCGATAGTGTCAGATAGAGGTCCATAGTTTACATCGTGGTTTTGGGTAAAATTCTAAGAAGTTACGGGTACTAAAATGCAGTTGAGTACAACTTTTCACCCACATACAAATGGTCAGTCTGAGAGGATTATTCAGATCTTAGAGGATATGCTAATGGCTTGTGTTACGGATTTTGGAGCTGGTTGGAGTAAGTTCCTACCATTAGTGGAATTTGCTTACAACAACAGTTATCAGGCTAGCATAGAGATGGCACCTTATGAGGCTTTGTATGGTCGGAAGTGTAGATCACCGGTTTGTTGGTTTGAGATTGGTGAGAAGAGGCTAATGGGACCAGAGTTGATTCAGATTACCTCAGAGAAAATAGAGATAATTAGAAATAAGCTTCAAACAGCTCAGAGCAGACAAAAGAGTTATGCAGATAGAAGAAGGCGTGACTTAGAGTTTTCAGTGGGTGATTGTGTGTTTTTAAAAGTATCACCGACAAAGGGAGTATTCAGGTTTGGGAAGAGAGGTAAGTTGAGTCCTCGATTCATTGGACCGTATGAGATTCTGGAGAGAGTTGGGGCAGTTGCTTATAGGTTAGCATTACCACCAAACTTGTCTGCTATCCATCCAGTATTTCATGTTTCCATGTTAAGGAAGTATATGACAGATCCATCGCATGTGTTAGAAGTTCATCCTGTTGAATTGAGGGATGATATGGTTTATGAGGTGCAACTGGAAGCTATAATCGATTGACAAGTGAGGAAGCTTAGGTCGAAGGATATAACTTCAGTGAAAGTGAAATGGAGGGGACATTCACGTGAGGAAGCAACATGGGAGCTCGAGAATAAGATGCGTGAGGAGTATCCTCATCTTTTCGATAATCTCGGTAAGTATTCAATCTTTCTTATTAAGTTTCGAGGACGAAACTTTTATAAGGTGGGGAGATTGTAATGTTTTGAATAAATAAGTAGGAAAATACAATAAAGCCCTTGGTGGCTTAAAGTGTAGGTATAAATGAATGAGGGGTAGTGTAGTAATTCAACAAAACTTGATAAATATAAATAGAAAGTAAAAAAAAAA